TTTTGCCACACGATTCTACTGTATCTCTTAAACGCTGTCCGTGCGTGCAGGCATGCGTGCTCGTATGTATCCCTAAGCATGTTCACACATGAATAATCGTCTCACATGGTCTCACATGGTCTCACATGGTCTTACACACATAATAATAATTGTTGGGAAAATACTGTTTTAGGCATATGATCGCTCTGTGATTAATATGATGATTCAGCCTCTATGGAGACAGACATATGACTGTCATGTTTATTGCTTACGTGGGCCTTAGCTAATCTGAACTAAACATTGAATACTGCTTTGAACCGGTATTCCTCCATCTTGTGACTGTGATACTCTTGTATTTAAGGCGTGTGAAGGACACTGTTCTGGGAACTATTTGTCCCGCAGCTCTGTATGTGATGACTACTTCCATTCTTGAGAGGATGATAAATACATGGGTCCTGATATTTTACTAACAATAATACATTTCATTTCTATAGCACACTTTAAAAACAACGTCATCTCATGGTGCTTCACAATGCTATAAGGAGAAAATAATAAAACAAATACAATTAAAAGTTATCTAAGGAGCATATTGAATAAAAAATAAATAAAATAAAGGACAGTCAGTCAAATGAGGTGCGGAACATGCGTGTTTGTGACTGACCGAGTGGAGGAGGCGGGCTCGGTGGCCTGCCTCTGCATGCGCGTGGTGCGGCGCAGGAAGTGCTCCCTCATGGAGAGCTGCACCTCGGCGGGGATGTCGGGCGACGTGTGGCTGATCTTCACCGCCGCCTCCAGGAAACCCATCGAGCCCATGGGGTCCTTCACCTTCTCTGTCGCCATGGTGACCGGTGACTGCAGGGGGCTGGGCAGCAGGATGGTCGGCTGAAGCGGGCAGATCTCGGGGTCGCAGGTCAGCGTGAGGGAGGGGCTGGAGAGATGGGCCTTCGTCCGCAGAGGCACACGGCACAGCTTCCAGGAGACGAATGTAAGAAGGCCCAGAAGAGCCAGGCCGCAGAACAGAAAGACGCCGAGCAGGAGGCCGAAAGAAGAGCCTGTTNGAAGTATTTGCACTCCACTACTTTCCACCTCTGGAAACGTGCAACTTTTATGAGAAAAACCACAAAGAGAAAGCTTTCAAAGTTAGCTATTTACGAACTGAATTTACGAGCCAAATTGCGAGACTTATGATAGGATGATCATTATATTGTACGCATATATGCTGGATTAATCTACAATGTGTCATTTAGTAACTTTATTGGTTGTTTGTTTGCTGCGGGATAATGTAAACAATTCACCGTGGCTCAAAAACGGTTGAAAACACTGTCCTAACAGACTGTCTTTTTCTCTCTTTCTCTCCTCCCCTCCCTTGCGATCACCATCTGTCCGTCCATATTGTGTGCTGCCCNAAACAGGCTGGTTCCTTTAGTTTGAATGTGTGTTTGGTGGCGTGATCATTATTATTTAGAGTCATTGCGTGCCTATTGATTTGAACACGATCCGTGTATCCATCGATACACGGATCGTGTTCAAATCAATAGGCACGCAATGACTCTAAATAATAATGATCACGCCACCAAACACACATTCAAACTAAAGGAACCAGCCTGTTTGGAAAATGTAAGAAGTAGAAAGTACAGGTATTTGGGTTCAAAATGTAAGAAGTAGAAAGTACAGGTATTTGTGTTCAAAATGTAAGAAGTAGAAAGTACAGGTATTTGGGTTCAAAATGTAAGAAGTAAAAGTCATCAGAAAAATAAGTAGTGGAGTAAAGTACTAAATACAATAATTCTATTCAAACTTGATGCTTCTTTGTAGTTAGACCAGAGACCACGACCGTCTGGAGCGTCGGCTGAACCGACTGTACGCCTCGCGACCAGTCGACTAGGAGAAGTGGACCCTTTAGTGTATCTTCTGAGGATGTTTTTTAGTGTGTTGAGGACGTCGAGTGCTAGGTTGAGCGTGACGAGCGAGTGAAAATAACGAAGTGTGAGGTGTCTTGTTTTACGGGTGCTGTAGGTCTCAGACGACCGTATTTCTCTTTTTTATTTTCGGACTAATAGTTGCTTCATTACCAACATAACTTAAATTTCCTTTTACATTAACCGTAACATCGACCGCGTAGTCTAGCTATCTGAACGACTTTTTTTTTTTTTTTTTTTTTTTCCAACACCGTAAAGTTAGTTTACTTGTCGTGGGACAGAAGTGAGTGCGAGAGGGAAGGTTCTGATTGTGCTGGTGTCGTTCCACGTTTTTACCATAGCGGCAACACAGAAAGAACCTAGAGAACGCAGAAACTCCGTCGGTAGGACATGAGCAATATATTGATTAAATTCTCGTTGAGTTAAGTCTGTTCACATGTGTGTATCGACCTGAGTTTTACTCGACTGAGACATCTTCTCCCGACCGGAGGGTACGATCTATACTACCAGAGTGAGTTCAATTATGCGACGGGTCCAAAAAAGACAAAGTCGACTATGTTCTTGTTAACAGGAATTTTAGCTATAAGATAAAGACGAGTATCTAGGGAGGTGTGAGCCTGGAGCACACAAGATTGTATATTGGAACTTACAAGCATGGTAACGATGGCTAAGGAACCAGTGTAAGGGACTCTAGACAAAACGAATTCTGCGGACAACAGATTACGTTCACTCAATAGTAGCGAAGAACGGAAATTTGTCGTGAACCGTAACAAAACGGCCAGTCACAATACAACGTCGACGAAGAAACGGGATGTAATTCTTCATAAATCCTCTGATTCTCCCTTGTTGTGTCTCACTAGTGTAGATTTTTCGAGTTCCCAACGTTATCGGTCCTTCTGGGTACAAACAGGAACAAACTACACTAACTAGGCATGCCTCACAGTGTACGAGGTTTGTCGTCCCTAGTTATGGGCACAACGCGCCAAGGAACTTCGCGGTCGAGAGTTAGACGCCCCTACAGCCCCCAGAACCCTCTCAATAGACACACCATGCAGTCTATACCGAGACCAGTGCGCTCCAGTGCCTGTTTGGTGCGCTAGTCGAACGTGAGGAAGCTGGACCGTAGCTGGCCACGACCGCCACGAAGTGCCGACTGTTCAATTGCCTGCGGCAAAAAGGTAGTGTTAGACTGGCCAGGTCCCGGGAGAAGACCCGTAGTTATGAAGCGCTTTTGTGTCTTCCTTTCAATAACATTGTCTCTTTGACGATCGTTGATACTAGTTAACTCATTCTTCTTCTACCACTACTAGACCCATTCTAACTTTGTTTTACTTGAGCAGTCATAAGTTGTTATATATACTAAACTCCATTTTTACCTACTTGTAACCCAAAAATAACCACGATGGAAAGGTAGTTTGACTGTATCGAAGTATCGATGTAATGTATGGTAGCCGTGAACAAGACATTAAGTGTCCTCCACCCTTTCATCACCTCATGTTTATGAGAACACATGACATGAAGTTCATTTCANCATCAGAAAAATAAGTAGTGGAGTAAAGTACTGCTACCAGAGAAATGTAATTCCAGAGGTGGAAAGTAGTGGAGTGCAAATACTTCGTTACTGCACTTAATTACATTTCTCTGGTAGCAGTACTTTACTCCACTACTTATTTTTCTGATGACTTTTACTTCTTACATTTTGAACCCAAATACCTGAACTTTCTACTTCTTACATTTTCCAAACAGGCTGGTTCCTTTAGTCTGAATGTGTGTTTGGTTGCGTGATCATTATTATTTAGAGTCATTGCGTGCCTATTGGTTTGAACACGATCCGTGTATCCATCACTTCCTGGTCTTCTCTAAAGAAGAGGGACCAATGAAAACGTTGTCATGTTGCCGTTGTTCAGCATGGAAACATTCATTAGCTAACAATGACATTATTGTTCTATTAATTTAAAGGGAGTTCAGATACTCTTTAAAACAGCTGCTAGTTATGGGTACTTTTTACTGAAGTACATTTCAAAGCCTCTTTACTTTTACTTGAGTAAAGAAGTTTAGTCAGTACTTCTACTTTTACCACTTTTAAACACGAGTATCTGTACTTCTACTTGAATAAAGGATGTGTGTACTTTTGCCATCTCTACCCGTTTCTCAGTTTGTTTACGCAGGTGAACAAAATACTCGGTGTTCTTGTTTTGAAGTGATGCTGTTTCATTTGGAGATGACATTTGAGTCTGCTTGGGAACATGGCACTGTTTGATTTAATTTGCAGCAACTAAATAATGTTTTTTCCCACCGATTAAGTGAAATTGGACAATTTCCCACGGCACCCATGGCGATCTCTTTCGTGTTTGAAAATGACTGTATTAAGACACAAATCTGGTGCTATATTAGTGTTTTCAGTATAAGGACAGTGAACCATGTATACGGGGAGATTCATACATATTAAAGAAACCTCTGAGCTCAGCTGAGGGAAAAAGGAAAGGATATTAATGTAAACAAAATAAAATATGGCATGCATCTCTCATATAGTACAACGATGTATTTCGGAGGCTCCAACGTCACCAGAAAAAAGTAATTTTGCAGTGAAATATTTTTATTCCACCATCCTTGTCAAAATCGAGACATATTGAAGTAATAAGAAGCGTACCTCGGGAAGGGGTATTTTGGGTATTTGTTCCTCTACTAATGGTTTTCTGTCATATCAGAGGTAGTAGAAGCAATTATGTTTAACAAATGATTTTTTTTTAAAAACTATTATTATCTATTTGGCTGAGAAAATACATATGGGAATAGAACCATAGGTATCAGACGCCTGCCTGGTGGATTCTTCGAAACCATGAAACAGATAAAAGAAGCAGGGCACAGTCAAACTAATTTATTTTCCAGCTTTTTGAATTATTCCTGGGGAACAAGCTGCATGCACAGACCTGGGGACATACCGAGAATGCTGACAAGCTGTGCAGGGACTCACAGCGACCGAAGGGGAAAATAACTGAAGCTGAAAACGTACAGGACTGTATCTCTGGACTTTGGCTTTTGGGACAAGTGCCAGAGTCGCTCTTTTTTCTAGATCTAAAGTAATTACATTTGTCCTTCTGATGCTGGGAATGTTTTCCACGCTTTGTGTTTGGTATCGAATTCAATTCTCTAAATGTTTGCTGGAGTGTGTATTTTCCGTGTGCCCTGATTGGTTTGATTTAGCTACTGATGCTGACGACGACCATGTCTGCGTCCTCTTAGAGCAGAGGTGTCATGGGCCAAATCCGGCCCGTGACTTCATTTGATGAGGCCCCACAAGACCTCTGAAAGAATATAATATGTTGTTTATACGGTTACATGCCGATTTACAGAAGCACATTGCCCATAAACTACATGTCCCACAATGCATCTCACAATATGACTTTTTTTCTCAGAATTTGACTTTCTTTCAAAATATTAGTTTTTTTTCAAAATGTTACTTCTCACTGCAGAGACTTGGAATTATTTGCCGTAGACTTCTGCTTTGAGACGTAGTTAATTATGAAGTTATTACCCTATTTGATAATAATCCAATGCAGAGGCAATAATGTAATATAATACATTATTATATATATATATATTAAATATTTATATATGTATTTATAGCCTTAAAGTTACAACCGGCCCTTTGAGTGCAACCATAATGTTAATGTGGCCCGTGATGAAATTGAGTTTGACACCCCTGTCTTAGAGGGTCCCTGAACTCGTGTCCCCACATAACATTTCAGAGAGAGCAGGGCGAGCTTCAAGGCATCACATTAAATGAGCTCTTTTTTTAATATTTAGACTCCCCCTTTCCACACTTCAGCAAAATGTGAGCATTGACAAGTTCGGAAATCTGCCTTTGGGGTTAAGTTTGAAGAGAATACATGTGATTTATTATTTATATGGAAAATGAGATGAGACCAATTGTGAAAAAAGTATCCTTTACTGAAGCAAAATCACTGGTATGATACTCCATTAAAAGCATTTGCAATCTTACCTTATTAAAAAGTTTAAAATAGCAAAGTCCTGCATAATATACTGCATCAAAGTATGATGTAGTCAAGTACATTTTCTCAAGTCTTGTAGTTAACTTAACATCCTACTTATCCGTAGTTGACCAAATCTTCATCAAAACATTTACCAGCATTCCTTCCAAAGAACTCTCACTAAATGAAGT